TCCTTTTCTATTTTTCTGTTCAGTGCTCAACTTTTCAGTTTGGCTTCTGTTTGTTTTGTATGATTGCTATGATCATCCATCTCACTCTTCATTCAATGTGCTTCTTCTTATGTTTAGTGTTTGCAATGTTACTTTTTTGTGTTGTACATGTTTAACGGTGTTCGGCTAAAGCAATGCTCATGAATTAGGAAATTGAAGCAGCATAGAGCAAGGAATAGGCGAAAACGAATAATGCAAAATTCCAAACATAAATTACCATAAAACATTTGAAATAACCACATAAATAATAAATAATAAACTTATCTGAACGATCTTCCCCATCGAAATAGGCAATAACACCGAGAAGGCTCAATTATTCCAACGCAATCAAGTAAAGCACCTAAAAATTAAGACCCGTTTCGTTGCAACATCACTGCAATTCTACACCACCCACAATTACTAAGCGAAGAACATAAAAAAATTATTCAATTGATGTGAAGAGATCGCCGAGAAAGGCAAACAAAAAAAAGCAAAAACCCAGCGAGGGAAAGGTCGACAACAAAAAAAAAGAAAAAAACATTATAGAAAGAAAGAAATAGAAGAAAACGAAAAAAAAAAAATTAAGATGAAAAGTAAACCGCATTTTTTGCCAAAACGAAAGAAAATGGTGGAAGAATGACAAACTCATAGATTCTAAACAATTAAGAAAGGAAAACATATATAGCAGGTGCACTCACAATTTAATAGCAACTCGTAGCCGTACCTTTGAAGATTTTTGTGGCCAATCACAATATATGGCTAGTAGTTGACACGATGAAAAAAAAGCTAAGCCAAAAGTCATGGAAAAAATGTATAAGAGTAAATATTTATACACCACCAATTAAAAATATTAAAAAATTGATAGGCTCATACCTAAAAGAATTCGACTGGACTCGAATGGAGAATGGCATGATCTCTTGTGCTTGGCCTTACTATCAGTCCAACGCCACTTGTTAGACAAGAGCTTGAGCTTTTGGTGAAGACAGAGACAACTACAAATAAAGGTGGAGCGGGCCTCGTTCCAGAAATCAAGGGTTAAGGAGTCGAGCTTCCTGGGCAGATGGTGAACATGAGGTCGTGGAGGATGCCATCATTATGCACTTTTGTTGACCGAGTGTGTGTATTAGAAAAACAATGTTGCAAACAAGTTCAAATCCAAATGAAATTAGATACGCAAATGAGTTGAAGGAGAGTCTAAAATGAATAAATTGCAAGTCTCTTATTTGGAATTTGAAGTCTACACTAAAAAAATTAAGCACCCTTCTGTATATTATTGATTCATAATTGAATTATATGCAGAACCAAGACCAAAAGTCCACATTTGAAAACACAAAATTATTCACATATACAAATTCTCATATTGCACATACTGAAAATGGTCCAATACAAAGCACAAATGCAAAAACTATCGACTCTCACATATAGAAATTGCAGTCGAAGTTTTTGGATCGAACCCGATAATCAAAGCGAGCATGAGAATGAATATGCCGCCTTCACGGACACCTCCTATACTCCCAAGGACTGCCCCAAAGAATCCAATCACTGTACCAACCACATTTTTTCTAGCCAAAATCCATATCCTGCAAATTCCCAATATGCAATAATCAATCAATTTGTCCACATTAACGAATAATTCGAGAACTGCTTATTTAACCAAGTTTTTTTAAATTTCTACGTAAATAATCAGAAATTGAACTCACATGCCACACATGTTTGGACAACAAGTTCATAATACTCTACTGCAAGAAGTTCACTATTTTTGTCCATTGACCTGAGTCTCCTTTGTTGTTGTTGAAACTTCTTGAGCTGGAACTGAAAGGACACCGCATAATGTTCGAACAAATAAACCAGTCAAAACCATTACTTTTTTCCCAATCAAACCCTTCTTGACAACCATAAAAATTCTTCAAAAAAAAGGACTCTTAAATATTGCTAACTTCACCCCCTGATCTTCTTGAAAATTCCCACTAAACAAAACAAGAATAACACTGATTATACGTTCAATTGTCAAAAAAAAAAAACCCAGTTCAAATTAAAAATCCATAACAAATGGGATAAAAATTTGGGCACATTCGACCAAGCTGCGAGGCTCTAAGAGCAAAAATCAACAGTTTTTCCAAAAAAAAAAAATAAAGTTTATAAAAACAAATGTATGTCTAAATAATATCTGATAAGCCACAAGCAATAAAAAAAGCTTATCAATAATTTCTATTTCAACAAAAAAAAATTGATAAAAAAAATATATGTCTAAATCACACACGCAGTGAGCCAAAAAAAACTAAACAAATACAATCCATGTGATAATCATCCCACTAACAAAAGTACCTGATCAATAATTTCTGAATTTTGTACCTTTTTCCTCCCATTTTCTTCCGTCTTTGGAGCATCTTCCACTGGGAGTACATGATCGGATGCAACTGGTCCTCTGACACCCTCATCGCCGGCAGGATCTCCTTCCGGGCTGCCCCGATGCAGCATACCAGCGGCAGATCCTCGTACAGGAAGTCCAAGCCATCGTCTAAGTCGTACAGCTCGTCGTCGGCGTCGGGGATCTGGTCGGAAACAGCGGGGATGCTCGGGGCTTCGTCTGCTTTGATCGGCCGCTTGTGTTCTTGTTGGATGAAGAAAACGGAGGTGTCGACGGTGTGGGGCTGGATTTCTTGCCATCGCAGCGGGGGGCTGAGGGAGTCTCGCAGGATGAAAGTTTTGGGGTTCGTAATTTGTGCGAAATTGAGGTTTCGGGGAGGAGAATTTGACGGGGAACATGAGAATTTGAAATGACGCATATACCCTCAAACCAATAAACCGGAGGAAAGACGAAAAGAAACGAAAAGGAAGCAAATGAAAATGCCACGTGTCAAATTTAAAATAAGTCTAATGTTTCCTTATAAGATATTACTAGTTGGCTCGGTGGCTGTGCACGCACAGCCGGCTCTAGTCCAGTCTATCATTATAACTAATACTCGGGAAAATTTTAAAATATATACTTCGTAATTTACATTTTCAATTCCACACCGTTCGTCTTTAAAACATACCTTACTTCAATTCCATATCTATATCCAGCCAAAAAATATTCGAATCTTCAAAACCGAAACCAACAAGTACAAATCCAACGCCTAAAAAAGTAATAAAAAAATAGAACCCAAATAGTTCTTCATTAATAGATTATTCTAGCTTTTGTAATACAAAATTAGAACCTAAATTTTAATATAACTCTACAAAATCTATAAAAAAAAGTGTGTCTTGCTCTTGCTCATGATCCAATCCTAATACTTCCAGGCTCCCAGTATGATTCAGCTTCAAAACTCCTGGTAGAAACTCCCATTTGGCCACTTACATTGCACGCATTGATTTAATTAAAAGACAACAAAAATCAATAAATTATAGACACACCTAGTAGAAAGAGACCGTTTCCAACTTACACATTTCACAGGCGCATCACTCTTCCTACTTCCATTCCCACTACTTGAACTCGATTGCCTCCCGCCAAGAAACTAAACCACAGAAACTTGAAAAACATTAACCTCGCAGACCACAGAAAAATAAGTACTTAATCTGATTAACATTAAGATTCTGAAATAAACCACAGTAAAATAAATACTTAGGGACTACCAACAAAACAACAACCTTAGATTGAGTATAACAAGCGGCATCCGTAAAAAACAGTACATGTACTTAATACAGAGGAATAAATTGAAGTGAGAATGAAGACTTACCACCAACCAACTCGTGTGAGACTTATCCATAGGAATCCCAAAGTGCAAGGAGAACATAATATCCAAACGAAATCCAACAGAAAAGTTCCAACACATAAATAGCTCATATAATTTTATAGTGAAAAGTATTGTTCATATAAATTTTAGCTTACGTAACACCAATGGACTATTTAACCAACCCGAGCTCAATTCTCATGTCGTAAATACTCATTCTCCTTCTCCTACAACAACCACTTCAGTTTCAAAACACAAACCAGTGATTAAAATAGCGCGCGGCGAGCCGAGGCGACAAGGCTCCAATTTGCCATGGCGTGAGGCGTGCGGCGAGGCGCCCGCCTTATGAAAGTGAGGCGAGCCATTACAAAAAAATAGAAAAATATGTATAGTTGTATATGAGATATTTTTACAAAATTATGACACAATTATTTATGAAGATATAAAATATAATAGCTAATAAATATGCAATAAAACACCACACATTAAAATGAAAACAACAATAAATAAAGTATAAAAAAAACTAACAAGTAGCATCCATATCCAACATGACCAATAAAGCAAATGCAAATAAACAACAATATTCATAGTTCCAAGTTCCAACTTTCAACAAAAGCAACACCAAAAGAAACAAGTAAAATTAGTTTCACTTCCACAACAAATACTAGTCGAGGGAAAGTTCTTGGACCGCGGCGACATCATCATCCGACTTATATCCATCCACATCTTCTTCTTCCGCATCATCATTGATAACATCATCATTCCATTCACAATCTTCATCTACAAGCCTAAATGATGAAGATGATGCGTTAGAAGCCGACCTCCTTCCGGTTGACGTTGATCTAGTTCTATTTCTCGGCTCCTCAACCCCCGCGGCCGTAGCAACATCATCCCAAGTTAAATCCTCATTTTGAAACACATATTCTTCCTCTCTAGCACCCACCAACCATTCATTGCTTTCATCAATATCTTTCAAAGCAATAGGATCAATTTTTCCCCGCATCAAGTACCGGCGTTGCAATGCCCTATTGTACTTGATAAACACCAAGTCATTAAGCCGATCATGATCCAATTTGTTTCTTTTCTTCGAATGAATCTATCAAAATAATAATTTCCACATTGTTATAAATTAATAATAATAAATAAATAATTACAATATAAAAAAATAGAGTGACTAAAAAACTTACGTGCTCAAAAACACTCCAATTCCTCTCACATCCGGACGAGCTACAAGTGAGGCTCAACACCTTGATAGCAAATTTTTGCAAATCGGGTGTATCGGAGCCATACGCTGCCCACCAATTTGCCGGTGTCCTTGTAGCTCTTTGCCTAACCGCCATAGGCAAACCAAAGAGACCCTCGGCATTCCGATATTTGTCCAAGTCATCACAAATTTGATCTTGTGTTGCAATACTTGGAACCAACCTTTGGATGGACTCATACAAGCCTCTATAAATCTCCGAAGAAGCTCCACAACACCCCGGGTCTTTGTAGAAGAACTCCGGATTCAAGAAAAAACCCGCCGCATGCAAAGGTCGATGTAATTGAACATCCCATCTTCGATCAATAATATCATACACCTCTTGATACTTGCTTTGGACACCTTGAAATGCGGATGCAATGGCTTCCTTGGCCCTATCCATCGCCTCATAAATATATCCCATCGGGGGCTTTTCCTCACCATCTACAATCCGAAGCACACCAACAAGAGGAGAAGCAAATTTCAAAGCAATCGTCACATTGGTCCAAAAGGACGGCATCATCATAATCTCGGCGACCTTCTTGCCTTGTTCCTCTTTTGCCCATTTGCTTTTAGTCCAATCGTCGGACACAAACATTTTTCGCAAATTAGCCTTGTGAACATGAAATTTTTGCAAAGTCAAAAACGCCGTTGCAAAACGGGTTTTTGCCGGCTTCACCAAATCTTTCTTTTGTGTAAAGTGCCGCATCATGTTCAACAAAGTGGGACGATTGTAGATGTAGCCGTGCACTCGGAGAGCCCTCTCATATGTCCTTTGAAGATAAGGAATTTTGAAAATATCTTCTAACATCAAGTCGAGGCAATGTGCGGCACAAGGACTCCAATATAAATGTGGATACTTCCCCTCCAAGTAATGCCCGGCCAATTTATTTGCCGCCGCACTATCGGTTACAATTTGAACCACATTTTCTTCTCCAATGGCTTCAATGTAAGTCTCCAACAAGTCTTGAATTTTCCTTGCATCCTTTGCATAGCTCGATGCATCAACAGAGTGAAGGAACACGGTGCCACGAGGAGAGTTCACCAAAAAGTTTATCAAAGTCCGACTCCGCCGATCGGTCCACCCATCACACATCAAGGTGCACCCGTATTGTGCTCTAGATAGCTCATGCTCTTTCATCATCTTCATCACGTGCTCTTTCTCATTCTTAAGCAACGGGCCTCTTACTTGATAGTACGTCGGCGGCGGCAACCCGGAACCATAATTTCCAACGGCCTCAATCATAGGCCCAAAAGCCGGACAATTGACCACATTAAGAGGGACCGCGGCTTCATATAGGAACCTTGCAATCTTTTCATAAGCTCTCTTCCTCAACTCTTCTCGATAAGGCGAATTTTCATCTATTCTTGGTTGCTTTCCTTTGCTCTTTCGGTTTTCCACGGAAACTTCGGGATCGGGTGTAAAATAGCAATCAATAGCCCCTTTTGCTTTTGGCCTCTTGAATTGAAATTGAGTTTTCTTCATGTTAAAACCTTGAGTGGATGCGGAGGAGGATAGATTCCTTGGAGTTGGAGCCTTCATGGGATCGATTTCTTCTTCTTCGACATCATAATCATCCAAATCAACCGCTTCATCAATGTCTACTACACATCTTTTATGCTCCGTTTGTTTCTTTTTCATTTCCATGTATTCTTTTACTTCTACACGAACTTCCGCCGGGCATTTTGAACATCGTAAGACATTTGCAAAGCCTCCAACCCAATGTTGCTTCATTCTTGAGACTCCGCCTTTGTACGTGATCCCACAAAAATTGCAAGTAAATGCATGAATATTTGTGGGATCCCTCACCGAATACTTCCAAGCAATGTCTTTTTTATTATTGTTCTCCTCCATATCTACAAATAATTAAATTGGAAAACATAAGCACCAATTATTTAACAACAAAATAAATTAAAGAGTAAGTTAAAGAAAAAAATAAAAGAAAACTTTATTTTTTTGTGGCCAGGACATCCAGGTGCTGTTAAAGAAAATTAAAAAGTAAAAGAAAAAAAAAAAAAAGA